ATATGAAGTTTCATACTAACTGCAGTTCAATTGTTCCTGACAAAAGCTATGAAAGAGCAAGTCCATGTTGACCTGTGATGAATAGGTTTTATATTCATGCAGTTATGTTTTTGTAAAGTTGTATTGTTACAGTAAGTATGGTTGCTAATTTCCAACTGCATTTTATTGTATGACACTATACTATAGAATATCTTAACCATTTACCACCCAAAATCCTACACCTGATGACACAGGCCAGGCAGAAAACTGATGTTAAAATTTCTTGTGCTGCTGCCTGGCTGTAATCAGATGTGGGATGTAGGGTACCAAATGGAGTCTCTGAGAATTAGAATGTTGGCAAGTGACATGATGATTAATACATAGACATATAGTTGAAAATCTGTGTGATCATTTACACAGAAAAAGGATCTGTCAGCTGAAACATTTACAGTGAGTTCAGGCGGTACATTTGGTCTCAGCCTTGAAGAAACTCAAATCTTTTAAGAGATAATTTTAATAATCCATGAAACAGTCCATTAATAAAGGAAATATGTGTACTTGACTGACTTTGTTTTTCTGCCACTGAACAGAAATAAAACCTTTGCATCTCAATAGATCTACATTTTTTCAAGGTGTTACCCACCACTTACGAATAGTCTGTTCATAGCAGTAGTTGTGTGCTATAATGGATTTACTAAGTGACTAAGGTGGCAACTTTGGAATAGGGAACATGCATGGAATAAAAAGTGTCAAACTATAAGTGAATTAGTTGTGAGTGCGAGCTCACTTTAGAATAGGGAACATATTCTGAGTTCAAAAGACTTAATTTAGAGTTATTTGGACACTATTAACACTTATAGGTGTGTGTTTTCTTATATAAGAATAAACCATATTTATTAGTGTTATTAAGGGAGAACGACTATTCTTGTGGTTGTAAAGGCCAAACTGAGCAAAGTGTATTAAGATCACAATTCATGTACAACAATTTCCTTAATTACTATCAATAAGCAGTAATTAGGAAGATAAAAAACGCTTAGTTAATGGCCTAGTAGTTGTAGAATAAGGCATTGATAAGTTCTTTATGATGACTAATAAAGACCCAATGTACTACTAATATGCATGCTAATAAGCCAATAGTTAATGGTTAATATGTTTACCTTAATATAAAGACATTTTACGAATTGCTTTAAGGTCTTGAACATATGCAACCTACAAGTAGCCACATTATTTAGCCTCCTGCATCCTTCTAAATAATGTGATTAGAGCATTCTGTGGAGGTTGTTATGGAACACTGTCACAGAGACTGCTCTCTCCCTCCCTCTGTCCCAGACACACAGACAGGATAGCATTGCCTCTCTTTCTCATTCACAACCTTAGATGTGCATCTTTATTTTCTGAATTCAGAGGCCCAGTATCTTTGATTTCTAATATTATTATTACTATTTTTTTAATTTGATGACACATTACATTGGCGTGTGGCCAAAATAATGATATATTTACATGTAGTGGTTCTTAGACTTTGTGTTCATATAAGAGGATCAATTGACAGAAATGTGCCATATATATATATATATATATATATATACATCCGTGTTTTCCGCCCTATATACATATGTATATATACAGGGAGGAAAACACGGAACTGTTGGAATGCTACTACAAGAAAGAGTGTCAAAGATGAAGAGCTGGACAGCACCAGGCCCCGATATGATCCATGCTTACTGGCTGAAAAAGCCAAGCAGCACAGATGAACCAGCTGCTAAGGGATGGGTCCCACCCAGAGTGGCTAACCCAGGGCAGGACGGTCCTAATCCTGAGGGACCATAAGAATTATTTATATCATTTATATATATATATATATATATATATATATATATATCAGATCATTCGCAGTTTGTACATGTTAACGATGAATCTTCAATAAATACTACAGTTAGTCATGGACTTCCACAAGGTTCTGTACTTGGACCAATACTATTTACTTTATATATGCTCCCTTTAGGCAAAATTATTAGGAATCACTCCATGCAGATGATACGCAGTTATATCTATCAATCAAGCCAGATGAAATTAATCAATTATCTAAATTACAAACATGTCTTAAGGACATAAAATCCTGGATGAGCTGCAATTTTCTGATGTTAAACTCAGAAAAAAACGGAATTCTTGTACTTGGCCCCAAAAATCTTAGAGACTCACTGTCTAAAGATATAGTTACTCTAGATGGCCTTACCTTGGCCTCTAGCACCACTGTCAGGAATCTTGGAGTTATCTTTGATCAGGATTTGTCATTTAATTCCCACATAAAGCAGACCTCTTGGACTGCCTTCTTTCATTAACGTAATATTACAAAAAATAGACACATCCTATCACAGACAGATGCAGAAAAACTAATCCATGCATTTGTTACTTCTAGGCTGGATTACTGCAACTCTTTATTATCAGGTTGCTCCAATAAGTCCCTTAGATGCATAAGTGGGTCTAAAATGACCCGGTGAGGTCGTTTTCTTGCAATATCTTTGTAATGAAAAGTTGTTATCGTTTCATATTCCAGGTATTCCTCAAACAACATGTTATTGATATAATGCAATTTAAATTTTTAACTTACCTTTTATACATTTTTCAAAATTGTAGTTTTTGTATTACTACCCCAAGCTTCCATAAGTGGGTCAAAAATGACCTGCATTCATTTCTTATGGGACTTCATGGGAATCTTTGATTCTAATCAACTGTGACTGTCAGGAATATGTATTTTGTGGACCACACAGACTATATCATAAGTGTCACCCCTTAAGAAGATTATTATTTTACACAGCAAGATCTGATACAGTATTGTCTTCTTTTTTACCTCATAAACGTGTGTGCGTGTCATTCATGACTACTGTGAGAAAGTTTGTGTTATTATCATCTATCAACAAGTTAGCCTACTTAAAAGTTAGCTCACACTAGCTAGCTAACTTAGCTAGCTAACATTACTGTATGCACTGTGTGTGTGTGTGTGTGTGTGTGTGTGTGTGTCAATCATGACTACTGTGTGAAAGAGTGTGTGTTTATTATCATCTATCATCAAATTTGTCTATTTTGTTTGTGAAACTAGCTACCTAACCAAGCTAGCTAACATTACTGTATGTTACGTGTCTGTGTGTGTGTCTGTGTTTGTGTGCATTTATTTATATAGCTAATTATTGATCAATAGGTTTGCTTGTCATTCAAAACCTTCTCTTTCTTTTTATGTTTTCTCATCCAAGGTGTCATGGCTGCTAGGTATACAGTTGAAATGGTCCTACAGATGCTGGATGAAGAGGCAGTTATGGGATTTGACTAGAACTTGAAATACACACACACACACACACACACACACACACACACACACACACACCACACACGCACCACACACACACACACACCCACACACACACACACACACACACACACCGCACAGGCATTCACACACACACACACACACACAACACACACACACACACACCGCACAGGCATGCACACACACACACACACACACACACACACACACACACACACAAAATGGATATTGACATTGTTCTTATTGCTGTTGTGTAATTTTGTGATGTTGACAGTTTTCAAATTCTTTTCAAATTTTTTTCAAAATGTTAAAAATGTTAAAAAAGTGAAAAATAAAAATATTTCATACGTGTAATCATTCTTGTGTGGACCAAAGTATAATACAAATGATTATTCTTAACTAAAATGACAAAAATGGCATAAAAACCCATTGATTCTAATACGGGTCATTTTTGACCCACTTATGGAACAGTGTAGGGTCCAGTCACTCATGCATCGAAGGGTTAAAATGCTCCAAATAATTCAGAACGCTGCAGCACGAGTACTGACAGGAACTAGAAAAAAAGATCACATCTCTCCTGTACTAGCTTCTCTGCACTGGCTCCCTGTAAAATTTAAAATGCTCCTCATCACCTATAAAGCTCTTCATGGTCAGGCCCCTTCATATCTTAAAGAGCTCATAGTTCCCTATTACCCCACTAGAACACTACGTTCTCTGAATGCTGGGCTACTTGTGGTTCCTATAGTCTCTAAAAGTAGAACAGGAGCCAGAGCCTTCAGTTACCAAGCTCCTCTCCTGTGGAACCAGCTTCCGGTTGTGGTTCGGGAGGCAGACACCCTCACCACATTCAAGAGTAGGCTTAAGACATTCCTCTTTGATAAAGCTTATAGTTAGGGCTGGATCAGGTGAGTCCTGAACCATCCCTTAGTTATGCTGCTATAGGCCTAGACTATCGGGGGATTTCCCATGATGCACTGAGCTCCTCTCTTCCTCTCTCTCTCTTTCTGCACTCATTCATGTCCCATTAATGCATGTTACTAACTTCACTTCTTCCCCGGAGTTCTTGTGCTTTCTCGTCTCGCAGGTTCTTATCAGACCTGGTGGAGCCTCCTGCCATGGTCCTGCTAGATTGCCAATACTGTTGTTGCTGTGCACCTGTCTGTCTGCCTGTCTCTCTCTCTCTCTCTCACCCCAACTGGTCGAGACAGACGACCACCCACCTAGAGCCGAAGCATCTGTCCTAGGTTTCTGCCTTTTAACAGGCAGTTTTTCCTTGCCCTTGTCGCCAAGTGCGTGCTCGTGGTGGTACTGTTGGGTCTCTGTAAATAATGTTATAAAGAGTTCGGTCTTGACCTGCTCTATTTGAAAAGTGTCCTGAGATAACTTCTGTTATGAATTGGCGTTATACAAATAAAACTGAATTGAACTGAATTTAATTTAAAAAATATATTTTGTTTGGTGCAAAACACTGGCAAAGGTCAAAGGGAGATGATAAGAAGAGAGCAGGTTTCTTTTTGTATAATGTTAGTAATAGAAACATCTTCAGAAAGTTTGTACTTGAACATTGAAGTGGCCCTCCTATGAGGATTTAGCCCAAAAACACCAGTCCATGCCATTATTGTGTTACCGGCACCAGACCTATATGTTTTTTACATAAAATGAATCAGTATTTTCATTAATTAATGACACATTCAAGTAATTATTTAATGGTGTATTTAATTATTTATTTATTTATTACATATTGATATGAATATCACTGTCACTATAAGAATTACAGAAGCATGATAGTTTGAGATGTAGTAAATGACAATGAACACAATTAATTGTCTGACTCACTGACAACAGCAAATACATTTCCATATCCACATAAAGTTTTATTGATGTTACTCACCAGTCTCTCCCTACATCATGTTAGCATCACAGGAGTCAGTTTGCAGTATCTTAAGTGTAACAATGAGTTTAATAGATTTTCTAAACCAGGGGTAAAAAAAGGCATAGATCATCGGGTTTAGACAGGAATTAAAATACAGCAGCCAGACTACAAAAGGTGAGGATGAACTACTGTCTTCAATATCCTGGCCTACAAAGGATGGAGAGTAATATGGACAGAAACATGTTAGAAACACAGCCACTACAACACCAAGCGCTCTGGCTGCTTTCACCTCAGATTTCTTAGCAGTTACACGCACTGAACCCTGGAGTGTGACAGCTGTGATGTGTGATCGCATAGCTTGAGCCTGAGACACAGCCACCACAAATACTCTCATATACAGAACTATGATGACAGTAATAGGGCCAATAAAGGTAAAGATAAAGTCAACAACTCCTGTGATATAGTTAAGGACCACAACACACTCTCCGTAGCAGGAATTCTGAGAATCAGGTTGCCTCAGGAAGTCCTTTAAAATTAGACTATTATAGAAAATAGAACAGATCCAGCACAGACAAACACAAATTTTTGTTCTGTCCAGTGTAACTCTGCTGGTGTAACGTAGAGGATCACAAATAGCCAAATAACGATCAATTGATATGAGCACCATATTTCCAACCGAAGAAGAGGTAATAATAAAATCCACATAATAATACAGAGCACACATGAGGTCACCCAGGAACCAGCAAGTCTCTGTGAAAAGGATTTCCACCGGCATCAGCAGCAGGCCCACAAAGAAGTCTGAGACAGCCAGGGAGAGGATGAGGAGGTTGGTGGGGCTGTGGAGCTGCCTGGAGAAGAAGAATTTATGACATTGTCATCAATAGTAGTAGTTAGCAATGGCATTCTTATGGGTGTCAGCTTTAATTATTTTGTCAGTACATTATGTTTAAAAATGTCATATTTTCTAGTAAAGCACACACAGTTATTATTATCTTGAACATTCACATTAAAAAGAAGACATGGGATTCTTGTACATTTTCATTATGTAAATAAATTAGCTTATATATCTCTGCCTGAAGTGGGAGATAGAGATGATGACCAGCAGGTTGAGAGCTGCAGTAAGCAGAGAGATAGAGGTCAGCAGAATGTAAATCAACATGGCATCAGACTGAGGCGGCATGGGTTTCCTGCAGGAAAGGTTAAGAAGTTGTGGAAAGCAGAGTTCAGCTCCTTCTAGAGTCTCCATCTTCAGAGAGAGAAGAAAAGTTGCTGATTTCTGGCTGTCTTGTTTGTACGCGTGTACAAAAGCATATTCAGACAATGACGTGCTATGACTCTGCCTTTTATTGATGGCTACATAACAAGAACCAGAGCACTGGATAGCGTACACTGGTATGCAAAACTTAAACTGAGCATGCGTGGGGAAGGACTCTGTATGAGATAATAACAAATCACACTCAATTATATCTAGCATCCAGTGGGGACAGTGGCTGCATCAAATACATTAAATCGAACATCCAGCATATTCTATGAGAATATTACATCCCTTTTCTTTTAAAAAAAACAAAACAAAACAAAACAAAAGGATGCTTATATATGTAGGTTAACGCCATCCTTCTGGATATAAGTGTAGCATTAGTAACCATGCTTAATGTGCTCTGCAATCCCATATATCAAACAAAACTCAGTGTTACCACTATACATAGAACTGTTGCTGTTCTTTGTTCTATCTTGAACAATTACATACACACTGGTGTTGATGAACTTATTTCCTCAATAAAACTCAATAATCAATAACATTTTACAATTTTTTTTTGTTTTGTTAAGGGCAGCGATCTGCCAAGACCCTTTTACATACGATTACAAATCCAAAATAGCCCTGGGTTTCACTTCTTGCCCAGACCTTGTCTTGTAGGGGACAGTGAGAGGGGTTGTCTCCCTGGCTGTATGTGCGGTGTGCAGTGGTGGGCAAGTTACTTCCAAAATGTAATATATTTCATATTACTAGTTACTTGCATTTGAAAGTAATAAGTTTCTTTACAATATTACCTTCTTTGTACAGTAATAAGTTACTCATTACTTTTTAGTTACTTTCACCAAAATAAACATTTAGTACAAGGCATTACAAAATGAAGGCGCGCAATATTTTGTCATTGCGAATAGTCCTCAATTAACTGTAGTTACTCATAAATATAGTTGGGGGGGGCAACATTAAAGTCTAATGAGGTCTATATTGCATCTGCAAGTAGTGGTTACCATGAATAGCTGAATTACAATAATGTAATGATATAGAATAATTAAACAACCAAAACCTTTACACAACATGACACAAACTCTCTTTCTATGCCTCATTTATTAGCTCCTGAGTTACAAAGTGCGGCCACACAAAAATTTAACAAAAAGGTTACATTTCCATGAAATTAAACATGTTAATAGGTTATACTATTTCAATAATAAAATAAAAGTGCACTTCAAGAATGAGGTCTAACAGCCACGAGACAGGGCATGTTTTGTAATTAAGTATTTTAGAAACTGAGCATATATCCTGCCCTGAAATAGCAGTAATAAAAAAGAGCATGAGAACAGCATAAATAATGCACACATTCAACATTTCAAAATATGGCTCATTTCAGTCCCACAGAGACTTTACAAGGAACTTATGCTTAGAGCCTATTAATATTTTGGTTAGGACCAAACAACAAAGTCTTAATAGACAAAATATACAGCCAAACAAGAGCTAAATATACAGTACAACTGAGGAAAATATACAGCCAAACAAAAGCTGATAATGATGAACACAACTACTGAAGGCATTTAGCCTTGACCTTAGCCTAAGGCTCTACAGAACTACTCCATACTACAAGTATTTGTTATAGCGCAACAGGAGAAGCCGCTGAAAGCGTTCATCACCAAGACGGTTTCGCTTTTGGTGTCCTCCTACACTGAAAAGTCTTTTGACTGGTGCACTGGATGGTGTTGCAGCGTTATGCCACTTTTTTAACTCTTGGAAAGTGGTGCAGGCTTTCCATCACAGGGGCAGATTTAAGATAATCTATTGCCTCTGTTTCTTTCCACAGACATGGGTGCATTTGAGTCATCTAGCTGTGCATCAAAAGAAAAAAGTCATCCTCACTGGGGGCGGCAGCAGCAGCAGCTGGATGAGGATCAGGCATCTGGGCTCGAGGTTCCTCTGACAAGGAGCTGCACTCTGTAGTGAGAAGGGACTTGATGTAGTCTTTTCTTGGTTTCTCACTTACCCAGCGAAGCTTAAACTTCGGCATTGAGACAGCAGCCAGCAATGCATCCTTGGAGTCAAAAGTTGCTGCAAACCGGCTTTTGATTGCTTTCACAATGATGTCAGGCAGTTCACCAGTCATCTTTGACAGGCCATTTTTAATTGCGAGGGTTTTGGCCATCAGAATTTCCAAAGTTGGCAGAAGTGTACCGTAAAAACAAGTGTCCTCACCCTGCAAAATGTCAAGTGCTACGGTGAAAGGTTTCATGATCAAACAGTATTCTTTGAGAAACTGGTATTCCTTCTCATTCATGCATTTAATGTGAAGCTGTGTGCAAAGCTTATTGATGTTGGCATGGGCATTTCAATGATACCCTTGTAGGCATCACAGAATGAGTTCCAACGAGTTATTGTGGGAACAATTAGCCTTTTTTTCACTGACCTCTTCGATACTACGATACACAGCCCTTGAGTCTTGATTAGATGCCAGCCATTTGTCAACTTCATTATTTGCAATTAGATTTAGTGTATGGGCTGCACATCTATGTTGGGGAGGCAGTTCACAAATGCTATGACCATCATCATAAAGTTTACCTCCTTCACCTTGTAAACCTGGTTCTCCCAGTAAGACTTGATCTTTCCAGGCCCACCCCTGGGAGTAAGGTTTCGGATAAGGACCCGATCATCTGGTTGAAGATCTCTACCCTGCACTTTTTTGTCATAGTGGGCCTTTCCACGTGCTGCTCCCTTGTCCGCATTTCTGGCAGAAATCTGGTATGCCTCTTGCATTCTCCTTTTCCAATGGCTCACGTAGTCCTCGTAGCTTCCATGGGCCTTGTCTCCCCCCAACTTGCTTGGGAAGCCAAACTTGAGAGCAAAGTCATTGAAAATCTTATCAGCCACAGTTTTTGGCGCAGGACACCATCCTCATCCACACAGATCTTTCGCCATTGTTTCAACAGTGTGACCACTGCAGGTTGCTCAGCTTTAACCTCAGTTCTGCTCAGTCTTTTGTTCTGATTCCAGAGGACTCTAGACAGGATTTCATCCTCTTCCTGAGCCTTGCGAATTTGGGCTGGAGCAAGAGGCTGACCAGTACTGCCACCTCCACAGTCTTCCACTAGGCTCAAAGCACTAATATTGACCAATCCAATACGCTGGCAAGGGTCTTTCCTTTCCACTGTCATGCTCTCAATAGACGCACCTATTGCCTCTTGAGTGACTTCTGCAGTACAGTTGTTCATGTAATCCTCAATGTTCAAAGGCATCCGAGACAGCCCGTCAGCATCTGAGTTGTTTTTCCCAGGGTGTTAGCGTATGGTAAAGTTGTAGTCGTCCAGTTCCGCCACCCATCTGTGCCCCATGGCATTGAGTTTTGCAGTAGTGAGTGCATACGTCAATGGGTTGTTGTCTGTGTACACTACGAATGACGAGGCATGATACAAGTAGTCACGGAAACGTTCACAGATGGCCCATTTCAACGCTAAAAACTCCTACTAAGGGTGCGGAAGCCATATGCTATCACTCACATCTTCCCTTGCTTACGCTGATACAACACAGCACCCAATCCATCCTGGGAAGCATCATCATGCAGCACAAAGGGCTGGGCAAAGTCCAGGTACCTGAGGACAGGAGGCTCTGTGAGTGCATTGATCAGCTGGTTCAACACTTCCTGGTGTGAACTAGTCCACTGTATGGGTGCGTGTGAAGGTACAGTGGGTACGGAAAGTATTCAGACCCCTTTAAAATGTTCACTCTTTGTTTCATTGCAGCCATTTGCTAAAATCAAAAAAGTTCATTTTATTTCTCATTAATGTACACTCAGCACCCCATTTTGACAGAAAAAAACAGAAATGTGGAAATTTTTGCAAATTTGTTAAAAAAGAAAAACTGAAATATCACATGGTCATAAGTATTCAGACCCTTTGCGCTGACACTCATATTTAACTCACATGCTGTCCATTTCTTCTGATCCTCCTTGAGATGGTCCTGCTCCTTCATTGCAGTCTAGCTGTGTTTAATTAAACTGATTGGACTTGATTAGGAAAGGCACACACCTGTCTATATAAGACCTTACAGCTCACAGTGCATGTCAGAGCAAATGAGAATCATGAGGTCGAAGGAACTGCCCAAGGAGCTCAGAGACAGAATTGTGGCAAGGCACAGATCTGGCCAAGGTTACAAAAGAATTTCTGCAGCACTCAAGGTTCCTAAGAGCACAGTGGCCTCCATAATCCTTAAATGGAAGAAGTTTGGGACGACCAGAACTCTTCCTAGACCTGGCCGTCCAGCCAAACTGAGCAATCATGGGAGAAGAGCCTTGGTGAGAGAGGTAAAGAAGAACCCAAAGATCACTGTGGCTGAGCTCCAGAGATGCAGTAGGGAGATGGGAGAAAGTTCCACAAAGTCAACTATCACTGCAGCCCTGCACCAGTCGGGGCTTTATGGCAGAGTGGCCCGACGGAAGCTCTCCTCAGTGCAAGACATATGAAAGCCTGCATAGAGTTTGCCAAAAAACACATGAAGGACTCCCAGACTATGAGAAATAAGATTCTCTGGTCTGATGAGACCAAGATTGAACTTTTTGGCGTTAATTCTAAGCGGTATGTGTGGAGAAAACCAGGCACTGCTCATCACCTGCCCAATACAATCCCAACAGTGAAACATGGTGGTGGCAGCATCAGGCTATGGGGATGTTTTTCAGCTGCAGGGACAGGACGACTGGTTGCAATTGAAGGAAAGATGAATGCGGCCAAGTACAGAGATATCCTGGAAGAAAACCTCTTCCAGAGTGCTCAGGACCTCAGACTGGGCCGAATGTTCACCTTCCAACAAGACAATAACCCTAAGCACACAGCTAAAATAACAAAGGAGTGGCTTCGGAAAACAACTCTGTGACCATTCTTGACTGGCCCAGCCAGAGCCCTGACCTAAACCCAATTGAGCATCTCTGGGGAGATCTGAAAATGGCTGTCCACCAACGTTCACCATCCAACCTGACAGAACTGGAAAGGATCTGCAAGGAAGAATGGCAGAGGATCCCCAAATCCAGGTGTGAAAAACTTGTTGCATCATTCCCAAGAAGACTCATGGCT